GGGGGGTGGGTAGAAAAAAAATAACATTCAGGGGAAGAACATAGAGAGGGAAACAGGACAATTAGAGGAGAACCCCCGAGCGTGTGGGGGTAACATAGAGCGGTACAAGGAAGGAGAGAAGAGTGAGATGAGTAAAGTGGGTGCAGGAGAACGAACAAAGGAGCACTGGAAAGGTCCCAACCCCAGCCAGGGTGTCCACCGAGCCCAGAGGTCAGCGGGAGATGGCCTCCAAGAAGTCCGCCGACTCCCAGGGGGGACTGGCTTCTCTACTCAGGCTGCGGCTGCTTTTTAACGAAAACCATCTGTCAGACTTTACACCTCTTGTGTTTTGCTGCAACTGGAATGTATTTTGGTGACTTTAAAATGAAAAGTTCCGGTGGGCTTTAATCGTTCTTTATTCCCAATTTCCGATCAGTCCTTCGCTGCGTGTATGAAGTAGCCACAAATGTCGCCAATCAATAACCATTATTCCAGATTCTGTGATTTCTGCGCTTACAAGCTGGTGATGGGTATTCACTCATTTTTTTGGTGGTTTTTGAATCTGGTCAGAGCTTTGAGCAAAAAAACAAAATTAAATCCGCTTTTTTTTTGTCTTTGAGTTTTGTAACTTTATTTGTATAAAATCTTTATTCTCTGTTTCTAGGTTTCAAGAGATGTGATGACCCCCCTACGCCTGTTTGGTCAATGTTTTTACGGCTGGCCGGTCCAGCTCGTTGCTGCTACTGAAGATTGTTGAACGCGGGAAGTTTTTAAATCGATTTTCTGTAAAAAAAAAAGGATTTGGAAAGATCAGAAGAGGAGAGAGAGACAAACAATCCAAAGACTTGTCACCTCGTCCCATCTCTGTGTGAAATAGGCTTCGGCTTTCTATTCAATTACGCTGCGCTTGTTCCAGTCGCCCGAGTTGTGATGTTCGGAGTTTGTGTACAGTGTATATAGACCGAGGATTACTTGCAGCACATTGGAGAACTGGCCGTGTGATTACATAGCGATGTATAATAACGTGTTATTAAGTATGAAAAAAAAAGAAAATGAAAGTCTCCATTGTTTTCTGTGTGCAAAGTGTCATCGTCTGACAAAGCAGAAGCAGATCCCCTGATAGTAAAACTGATACTAAGGGGTCTAGTTAAAAAAAAAAAATTTCACACAATGAACAGCTCTGTGAACAAGTTTCATAGCCCATTATGTCCACCAGCTGGAGCTGAGGAGCAGAGGAAATTCCAATGCTCCTCAGCTCCCCCTAGAGGCCATAATGGGCACTGATCCTTGTTCACAGATCTGTTCACTGTGCAAACGGTTTATAACTACACCTCCAAAGGGTTTTTCTCTCGGACATCAAATGGTATGCCGGACATATAACAAAAACAGGAACCCATGAAACCCAAAAAGTTAATAGTCTGTCACAACTAGTCATGTTCTCTAATCATCTCATGCAACTTGCCATGGTCTCTAATACTCTCTGACAAATGTCATGGCCTCTAGTAGGCTCTCACAATGTGACATGGTCTCTAATAGTCATATAAGAAACGTCACCAGCACACCAAGAATACTTTTTGAGGATCACCAACCGTTCATTTATTCAGAACATGTCAAGTAAAACAAGCGCTTTCGGGGCCGCTCAGGGTCCCTTCATCAGGCTTAGCATTGCGTCATCCGCAGTCATTACAAGCACCCTCCCCCGACAGCTGGGATATCCGGTAAAGAGTGCGTCAAGCCGTCTTTATACTTCATGGTCTCTAATAGAGGCCACGATAAGATGCGTGAGACTATTAGTCTATAGTAACTAGTCATGGCTTCTAATAATTTCTTGCAACTTGTCATGGGCCTTAATAGTCTCCCACAACATATCATGGTCTCTACTACCCTCTTAAAACTTGTCATGGCCTCTAATAGGCTCCCACAATGTAACATGGTCTCTAATAGTCTTTCACATCTTATCCTGGCCTCTATTAGTCTATAGTAACTAGTTATGGCTTCAAATAACTTCTTGCAATTTGTCATGGCCCCTAATAGTGTCCTTCACTGTGTCTGTGGCCTTTAATAGTCTCTCACAACTAGTCATGGTCTCTATTAGTATCTCACAATTTGGCATGGTCTCTAATACTCTCACAACTAATCACTTTCTCTAATAGTTTCCTAAAACTTATCATGGCCTCTAATTGTCTCTCACAACTTGTCATGGCCTCTAATTGTCTCTCACGGCTTGTCATGGCCTCTAATAGTCTGTGCGGGCTGAATACATTGCAGTAAACACATGGCCTGCATACGTCACGACCAGAAGTTTGTGGACACCTGACCATCACAACTATATGAGCTTTTTGGACATCCCATTTCAGATCCATGGACATTAAGTTGGAGTTGTCCCACTCTTTGTGGATATAACAGCCTCCAGTTGTCTGGGAAGAAGATTTTGGAGGGTGTTTTGAGAGTTTGTGCCCATTTGTGAGGTCAGGTACTGATGTTGGATGAGATAATCTGACTCACAATCATTCCAATTCATCCCAAAGGTGCTCAGCAGGGTTGAGGTCAGGGCTCTGTGCGGGACACTCGAGTTCCTCCACACCAAACTGGTCACACCGTGTCTGTATGGAGCTGGCATTGTACACAGGGGACAGTCATGGTGGAACAGAAAAGGGTCTTCACCCAACTGTGACCACAAGGAGGGGAGAGCACAATTGTCTACAATGTCAGGACTGATTTATGAAAACTGTAACAATATTTTTATGCTCTGTGCAAAGAAAGACAAAACACTGTCCTGAAATACAATATTTATTCAGAAAAACAAATATTTACATGATTTTCAGAGAGAAAAATAATAGAAATGTAACAATGACATCAGAGTGAGGAGGGATGAGTGACGTCTCCTCTCTGACACATTCACATCCCCATAGAAACTAGTGAAGAGAAATGTATTGATATCGAGTGCGGTCGTGTCATCAGGAGGAGTTCTGAGGGGGGCTTATACTTCTGCTGTTTTCTCGTTGCTGACCCGGACCGGCTGACCCTTCTTCGTTTGCTGCCCGCCCTGATCTTCTGCCTGGAGTTGACTTTGCCCTTGTCTCCTGCGTTTATCCTTTGATTAATCGTCGCTGACCATCGGACCATCCTCTGCTAGCCGTCTGCCTTGAACTCTGCCTGGATCTGACCACTGTCTCCCTGGCACTGGCAACCCTGGGGATCGTGACCTGGTACCAGCAAGCAGCCAAGCCCATCTCCACCATCAGGAGCTCTGGTCAACACCGGCTGGTACTTAGACTCCACCCCTCAGGGAAGCACATGTCGCCTGCCAGGGGGTGTCACCCTAACAGACAGCTTATAGAAAATTAATGGTAAAGAACTCATTAGTAGATGGGGGGGCAACAGAGAGCAGAGCT